TCAATTTTGCCAGTCAGTTTCATTGGGAAGCTTATTTTCACATTTCCATCATTGTTTGTGAATAGACGAATTTCAAAAGGCTGGACCAAGAAGGAAATCTCATTATTCACAGTTCCAGTAATCCGTCCATTGAGCCGAGCTTTGTGAGAGCCCGTTAATTCTACTTTCATGCCTCCAAGCTGTCCTGTGCCTTTTACGTTTAGAACGCTACGTCCCACAGGCTGTGACTCAATTTCAGATTGAATCTGAAATGTTGCATAATTTAGGAAACCACACTCATATCTCATAGCTTGATTGACTTTCAAGTACTTATCATTTATTCTGTTGTCAGCAGAAAATATAATAATGGGGCCCTCAACCCTGAAAGTGGCATGTGAATCATGAGTTCCTTCATCAGAGAAATTAGGGTAAGCCCATTTCCAGTTTCCTTTACCAACGGAGGTAAACGATACGTGTCCTGCTTCTAACTCTGTTGTCATGTTATTGATCAAATCAGCCTGACTGGAGAAGGCAACTTGTGGAATATTTAGTCTGTGGGAATATGTTGTTCCACTCTGCATCCAAATTTTTCTTTTTAGCTTGACTATTAAACTATTCTGCACTTCTATTGAATTTTTTGTTGTATATAAGTTTGTTCTTGTGTCAGCTTTACCTTCTACAGAAGTCCCTAAAAACATCACTTCATTGGTGTGATCAACTTTAAGGAATCTGTGGTTGATCTTCATAGAATTTTTAAGGTTCAGCTGCTTCATCTCAGGGGCTGAGAGACGTGAGTCTGCAATAACACTAAAAATTAGGAAATCTAATTTGGACGTTGCTTGAGCTGAAACAGAGGTCACAAATTCTGGGCTGTTTGCAGAAGTTGTAGTGTTATGAACTTCAGCTTGAGTAGACAGTGTAAAGAATGGAGAGGCAACCCTAAAAGCACCAGACAATTTGCCAAATGTAGGGACTGTTACAGTATGTGGGATACGTGGAAGCTGGAACTCTGGTATCTTCATGTCAGGAATCTGAAGCTCATATAGATTTAGCTTAGGAATGAATAATTCTGGTATTTCAAACTGAGGCATTTGTAGTTCTGAGAAAGAAATGTTAGGAAAAGGCATATCTCTCATCTTCAGATCTTTAAAATACACATCAGTTGCTGGCAGCTGAAATTCACCAGACAGGAGTTGGTCTATTATTCTCACAACCTGAAGTTTAATCTCATACAGGTCAATTGTATAGGAAGGAACTTCAAAGGTATTCAGAATAGTAAATGTTGGGGTAGTAAAAGTCGTTGGGATTTTTATGTCCTTTAGTTTCTTAATATTGATCTCATAGGAGGGGATATGCAGATCAGTGAGTGGGACAATGAAATCTGGTGTTTGAAATGTTGCTTCCCGCAGAGTTCGGAGACTAACCTCAAAGGCTGGTATAGTGACTATAGCAGTTCTGATTTCAGGGACTTTAAATCCTGATTCAACAAACTGGTTTAAAATTTCAGCCCAATTTTTGATATCATACTCTTCAGCCAAAGCAACAATCTTCTTAAAAGCAGTGTTCCACTGTTCAGAAATGTATATGACAACAGAATTGTAGAACTGGCTTATCTTCTGAAGATACCACTGGAATTCCTTGGAAATATCAATTTCAGAAATCCTGTCTCGCAGATCTTCCAGGTCTTCATTTATCTTAGCTTTCAGATTAGCAAATGTTGTTGAGTTTATGAGATCCTTGAACCAGTTAATTATCACAGCAAGCTTGGTGTCCCTGAGTTGTTCTATGTATTTTGAAATCACAGCACTAACATCTCTCATATACTGTTTCAGTGCTTCAGCCTTCTGTGGAAATTCTAGATTTCTGAGCTCCTCATTGATTTTCTGGGTCACTTCTCGGATTTTATTATTTGTGTCATCGACAAACTGGTTATAGTCAAAAGACTTAAGATTTTTTATAAGCATGTCAAGGAATTTGTTGACTTCCTTTATCATCATTTCATAATCAAATGTTTGCACTTTCTTGACAGCATCATCAATAAAAGTAACAATTCTATCAAAGCAGGATTTCACATCAATTTTTTTCAGGTAGGTGATTAGTTTCTGGACAGTTTCTTTTATTTTGTACTGGTTAAGCAGTTCTACCATCCTGTCCATTAAAAAATATACTTGCTTATCAATTTCATATTTTACAATCAGTTTGTGCATGTGACCTCGGAAAGCACTAATCTTCTCAGATACTTCATACTCCTCCATCCAGTTTAGAATAAAGTCTTTGATTTGTTCAATAACTTCATTCAGTTTTTTAATTGGTAATGAACGTTTCAATTTTTCTAAAACTGCTTTAACATCAATCATTTTAATCTGCTGTTTCAAGTTTTCCACACTGCGTCTGACATCTATATTCTGAATTTGAATCTTCAGTTGTTCTAGGTTCTCCTGCATCCAAGCTGTGATCTTGTACTTATCATCTACATTTTTAATCCAAGCCAGAGTGCTGCCTCCAATTTCATTAGGATAATACTGATGAAAAAGAGCCTGTAATTTCTGAATAGTATCAATTACAGTCATTCTTATCTTATACTTGTTATCTAGAGCTGTCACTTTTTCAACTATTTGGTCAAGAAGCTGTGCAATAAGTGCTTTAATGTCATACTGCTCATAATTATCTTTGATATATTGCTCAATCTGTATCAGATAGGCCTGCAGCTGAGACAGTATTTCTTGAATGTTTACCATGGCTTTTTCCAGTGTAATTTGGAGATCATCAGCAGTTATGCTATAGTCCCTTGTGAAAGCAATTAAATTATTTTTCATGCTGCTAACTCTGCCCTTCATATCCAGTTTGTCCATGTAGTCATTAACGTGCTGCGGGAGCTTATCCAAAGTTGTCTTGTATTTTCTAATATGTTGATCTATGTTAATGTTTTTCAGGTAACTTTGTATGGCCTGCAGTGTTGATAAAATGGTGCCTCTGATTTGTTCAAAGTAAACTGGCAAGTGTTCCAAGAATGGCAGGTTGATAACATGCATGTCTTTATTTTTGTCATACTTCACAGAGCCAGAGATACTGAATTCTTGAGGCTCTGACAAACTGCCCCTGAGGCCTAACAGATCAATTAAATTAATTGCTTCAGACGTGAATGGTACTGTGATTGATGAATCCATTACAGAGAGATCTGCTACAGCTCTTCCACTAAGCTCCACACCAGTCTTTTCTGCATTGTTGTAAGCATTGAGATCCTGTGAATATACGTTATTGTTCAGCTGACTTTTCAATTTCCAAGCACTTGACTGCTCTGATGGAGTAAAAAGCATATGAACTTTATTATCAAGCAGTGTAGTGTATCTTTCTCTAGACTTCAAGCTATGACTGGTAGATCCTCTGTAATCATGGGAGAAAGTGAAAGCAAGAGGCTCTGCTTTGAACAGGAATTTGCTGTAAAGGTCTCCAGTGTGTTCACCCATAGCAATCAGCTTCCCATTACCATTGGTATGTACATCAGCAGTGATAGTAAATGGGGCCATGGTGGAACGTACAGCATTGCTGAAACGGAGAGATTTGGAATCACAGTTTGTGTTGATAGTAATTGAGGAAGCAAGTCCTGCCACGTTCAGATTAACTCTATGACTTACTGCTGTACCTTGAACATTTGCAACCGTATCTGTTTTAAAGTTTGCAGCTAGATCAGCATATGTAATGGTGTAGGTATGCCTTATTTCATCTGCTCCATAGGCTCCTCTCACATTGCCACCCAAATTCAGTTTCAGAGGTTCAAGGAGTAATTCTGCTTTGTTGGTAACTTCAGTTCTAGTGTATTTAATATTATTGCTCAGCTTAGCTGTAAGTGATGTAGGCTGCATTTGTAGGTCAAAAACATGCTTGTGGAACTTGTCAAAGCTGAAGCTGTTGTCTAATTTTGAAGTAAATGTTAAGGATAAGCCAGGAATATTCAAGTCATTTGTGTACTCCAGCTTTATTTCTTTGAACGATCCTTGCAAGTTATTTGAAAACTTGAGTCCTTCTGTATTAACTCTGAAGTTTAAAACATGTTTGTTGTCCATACCCAGAACTGTACTCTGATATTCACTTCCCAGTGTTATTTCCATTAAGCTCACTCTTCCACCTAGATTGAATTTTGCATTGTTTTTACCATAGCGTCCAGAAGAGGATAGTGACATGGAGCCTCCAGAAGTATCAAGTTTGGCATTCATTTCACTCTGCATTGTCAGTGGACTAAACTGCACATTTGTGGTTGCACTGCTGGCTACACCATATTGATTAACATTCAGTGATGACTTATGGGCAGCTCGATTCCTTTGATCAGTCATAGAAATATCAGTGTTGAGAACAAGATCCTGGGAATTGACAGAACCTGCAAACAAGGCATAATATTGGGTTTGCTTGTAAGTGGCTTGGTACTCAGAGCGAAGGGCAGCTGTCTTCTTTGACAAAATTAACTCAAGCTTATTGACACCTGCAAGGTGTCGATACCTCCCATTTGTTTCAGATATCATTTTCAGCTGGCTGTTTTCATACCTCAGTGAAGCTGTGTTCTTTAATAGTCCGCTCTGTACATCAGAAACTGAAGTAATGGAAAATGTGCCATCACTGTATCTACCAGATACCTGGTTGGTAGCCTGAAGGTAAGAAGAATCCAACTTCAGATTTGATTTCCCTTCTAGAACTTGCCTCTTTTCATTGTATGAGCTTGATAGAGTGTAAATACTTCTTGCAAAGACAGAAGCCACTTCCAGTTGTCCTTCCATCTTGACATTATTGATATTCACATTATTTGTCTTCTCAGAAACAATATCAGCGGAGAATGAAAGCTGAGGACCCAGAGTACTGGATGCCATAAGTGATACAGTGTAGTTTGCAATTGGACTAGGTTCGTAACTCTTTGTCCTGGCCAGCTTAAATACTGACGTTAAGAGTCTGTGTTTCAGGTGATTTTCATAGGCATAGATAAAGCCATTCCTATTATAAGATGCTTCTCCAGAACCTGAAAGAGGGAAAAAGAGACAAAGATAAATATATACCTTTGTCTTTAAGACCCTCTGATGCCACTGAACTCTTATTTTACTGTTTGAATTGTTATTACTGTTACTATATCATTTTGCTTTAAGGAAGAAAAGTGTTTTGGTAAATCTAGAATATTTCTATAAAAGTTGTTATCATTTTGATCTTTGGGTCTAAACTTTCAAACTATTTTTAAATTAAATCTCTACATTTCTGTATTAAGTATTATTATGTGAGATGATGCAAAATTATGCTGTTATTTAAACTTAATTTAACAAGATGGATTCTCAAGAATGCCCCAACTAAAGCATAATTAACATTCCTTTCTCTAACTGTTGTCTTTATTATGTCTTTACTAACTCCATTTATGGTGTTATACCTCAAAAATACCCATTTTAAGATCTACCTAGTCTGAGTCTGGGATAACTACTTCATAGTTACGGCAGTATATAGCCACATAAATGATAAACAAATATGTATTCATATGTACAGAGAGAGAAATAAATTGATTTTGAAAACACTTGACTTGTCAGGTACACAACTGTGTACAGGATTAGGCCTGAAAAACCTTCTCCTCAGTAGAGAATATCTTGGAAAATATGGACCTTAAAAGTCTTTATGGAGTCATTTGATTTTTGTCTTTAGTGCCTAAATAAACTGATTCACAAAATATCTTTAAAAACAAAGAGAGAGCAACTTCAGATTATAAGACTCTGTTCTTTAAATAAGCAATATGAAAATGGATGTGCTGTATCTGATGAATGTAAAATAAAATCATTAAAATAGTTTTGTCAGCATTACAGTATCAACACACATTCTTACCTTTTACATTGTATGAAAGCAGCTCAAAAACTGAATCAGCATTCATGGTATAAGTACTTCTTATGCTGGATGCTTTCTCTGTGGTGCTGTTAGCCAAGGTGTATGCTGCTGTCCAGTTGTAATAGTTGCTGTATATATTAGTAGAGATGTCTAAAGTGCCAAGTAAAGGCACACGAAGTGGATAGGATTCTGGAACAGTAAACGGAGGGATTCTGTATTCCTGTGATGGTACGTTTATTCCCATTGACTCCATTACCAGAGGAGGTGTTTTAATGCTCTGTGGCACCTTTATATCACGGGATGATCTTCCACCAAACGGTAATGGGATATTAATTAAAAAACTGCTTTTATTCCAAGTGTATCTGATCTGGCCATCACTAGAAAATAAAAGTCACTCCATTAAACAGTCTATAATATAAAGTTCATAATGCATACAAAGAAATTCCCACTATTCCCATGAAACTGAGCTTATTTACCTTGCATCAATGTCCTGACTTTAGAGACAAATGTAAAGATGATTTATCCTTATCTCAGCATTTTTGAAGCATTAATCTATCAGAATTTACTGAAAGCACTTTGGATATTGGTGAATACTGTCAATGTTTTTTCTCCTTATTTCACAGTCAGGAAGACTGAGAGGACAAATAATCCAGAAATGGACTAGTTCAGTTAGACCTTGCAATAGAATTCAAAGCTTCTTGATTCTTGGTCTAGAGTAACTAACCACGACTCACTAGTGGAGGGAGAGTGTCATTAGTGTTCTGCAAGGGGCTAAACGCAAGACTCCCATGAATCTCGTGCTTGATTTTTCTACCCTGAGAGTCTAAATCTGCTTTATGAACATTCATGAAGAGATGCATTGGCATGAAAATGGTCCTCTAAATTAAGGAAATTAAATGAAAATAGCTGACACATAGGAAAGAATAATTCCTCTGAAAGCACCGCCACAATTCTGCAATATGTTATGCTGAATACCAGAGAAAGGCAATTCTTATTAATATTAGTATTAGGATAAATATTACTATTGTTATACAATATAACACATTATATGTGACTTATAATATATATAACTATTATATATTATACATATATTAATATCAATAATTATTAAGATATTAATGTTCTTTAAAAGTATTGTATTTTTATAGAAGTGCATGAAAAGTCTCAGTAATATTAGATGTTGTAAGAACCTAAATTATCAAGAATTCCTCCTTCTGATGATGTATAAGTATTTCAAAAGTTTCATGCAAATATTCAGCAGTTAATTTATTCTGAATAAAAATAAATAAAAAACTAACTATTCAATTAGAAGCTAGGATTGGAAAAAATGGGTTGCTAGCTGAAATGTTTGTGTGGAAAAAGTGTAATTATGAAAAGACAAAACAGGAGGAAATTCTGTCTTAATTTGTGCAAGAACAATAGGCTGGCAAGATGCTTTTGCTGTTTGCCTAACTGGTCTTTCATAGTACAAAATCTTTTTTACATGGAGGGTTACATTTTAAGATGAAAATTAAGTAAACAGATTTTAAAAAATCTGTTCCATTCCATCAAAAGGTTTTAAAAAAAACCCAGAATATACAGAACACTAGAAGTTCTTCTTACTATTCTAATATGCATTGTTGATAAGAACACAGGAGGAAAAAAACCAGCTGTTTCCCCACTTATACATAGCTTAGGAACACTACAAAAGTAAATGAGATATGTGTTATTGACATACTGTTTCATATTACCACAGAGAAAGACAGTATGTGGAAAAACAGTGCTAGGAGAGAGAAAATGCCAGGTTCTTTTCCATCTGTTTTTGTAATTCAATCTTTACAAGCTTCTTTACTCCTTTCATTTGCATTCATTTCAGTCACCAATGCTCCCCTAGTCCAAGGGAAAAGTATACAGATACACTTCTGTATGCTACAGTGGTAGCTGGGGTGTACTCTGAAATATTAACGAGCAATAGTTTTCCTTGAATCCGTATGCATAGGCAGAGCAACAATGAGATAAGAACACTAAGCTAGGATCTGTAACGAGAACAACTTCTTGGCAGGTGCAAAAGCATTTTAAACTAGAGATCCACTTCGGCTGATTGATAGCCTTATTTCCTAGAGGCAGAAGGAATATGCTGTTTATCTGCTTCTGTCGCTCTTTTTGTTGCTCAAACCTTACTCTTTATAGCTTTTTAACATATTAGATGATTTCTACCAAATTTGACAGAATGGTAAGAGTCTCAAAGGTAATTACACTCATACAAGCTGTGAAGCTTTGTAGAGGGGATTGACTCAAACTAGTACAAGCGTCTGGTCTATACGCATACAACTTGTGAGCCAAGCATGGCATGTACTGCCTCTGATAGCTGGAGAAGGAAGAGAATGGAGTACTGAAAGTCTACTGTATTGGTGAGGTTAACCAGTGCATGTAGGGAAACGGGAAGAACTGTCCAGTAGGACTGTGCAAGAAAAAGTGGAAAAGAGGTTAGGTTTATTGCCGAAGAAAAAGGGGGTCTGTATAGATGCAGTACACAAATCTAGGGGAAATCAGGCTTCATTAGTTCTGTGGCTCATGGAAAAATTGTTGAGCGCTGTATTTTATTCACTTCTCATTGTATAACGCAGGAGTGATTGCTGCAGAATCAGTTCTTTCTTATCTAGTATCATAAATAATTTCTTCTACATAATTTCCTCTCTCTGCTCTTAACATTCTTTGCTATGATTCTAATTTTATGCTACTGTTTATGACAGCTCTAGACCATTTAAAAAAACCCTAAGTCAAATAAAATAATACAAACATACAAACAAATATCTATTTTCAGTTCCCTGTGTCACTGCGTTCATATCTCTCCCCACCTTTTCAGGAAAAGTTCTTCAGGAATGGTGATAACAGGCAGGTTCATTTTCTGAATGTTCAATTCTTGCAGTCCACTTAGTCTGTCTTGTAGAGTCTGAGCATAGGGGACATCTTTTGATGCTTTTTGCAGCCAGGTATTGGTTGCCTGCAATGAAGAGACAAGTTTTTCAAAGTAAAAGGACAAATAACAACAAGCAAAACTTAAATGACAAGTTTTAGGACTTTCCAATGGTTTTTCAGTTATGTAGCAGTTATCTGAAAGCTAGTGCAACTACCCATTTACAGAGCACTGGGCATCTGATAAAGTGGCTGGCTGCATCCAAGTTGAAAATTTAAACCATATTCGATCTGACTGCTTTCACACATCGTTCCCATAAGGTTCATTTTAGTGTCCTGGGGGGAGACAAGAATTCATCAGGGCTATGTGGTCAAGCTGTAATATCTACTGTAAGTTGAAACATACCATGATAAATTGTGATACAATATGTCGCACTGTCATATCAGTATGAGCTACTTTCTGATCCAGCAGTTCATTGGCATGCTTCTCTAAAGTTTTTGGGTAGTCTGAAAAATCAACTGTGAAGCCAGAAGACATTTTTTTCACGGCAGCACTTGTTCCTGAATTCCACTCTAGCTCAACTTTCTCAGAATCTGAAAATTATTAATTTAAAAGAAGAAAATGGTAAAAATCAGAAATATTCTTGTTCTACTTAGACATATAATATAAACGAATGTAACAAGCTGTTTAAATTTATAGGTTTAACACACGGATCATGTTTTTGTCCCTACCATATCTGAAAACAACTCTTCCTGAAATTGAGTTCCCATGAGATGTTGCAGCTGAGCTCATTTGAAGATATCCCTTGGTCGGTGAATAATTAACCAGTGCTTCAGTTCTAAGTTCGGTTTGCAGGCGAGGAATAGAAATGGTGCCTCTTAGCATTGACTCTTCTATTCCAGCGTATCTGTGAAAGTGAAAAGTCAATGTGCATGTAAAGCATTTCACTTTATTCTTTTATTTATGTTTCAGGAGTAATTTCAGCATTTAAAGCCAAAGGAATGGCATAATAGGTGGTATAAAAAAAAATGTAATGAATCAAACTTGTAGGATTCCTTCTGATTCAATCAATGTTTTCAAATCCTGCTGGTTACTTTGGGAAATCTAAGGTAAATTATTATAATGCTGCTGTGCCAGAAGCACACAGTAACAACCTAATATTAATCCTATAACACTGAAACAGATGGAAATATCTACTTATCTTGGTACAGTTGTACCTGAACCAAATCCTGATCTCCTTACTCGAGCTGTATTCTCTACTAAGAATACAGAATATGGGCATGAATCAAATAGAAACAAGACACTTGACAAAACATATTATGCCATTGGGCCTCATTTTCCTTTATTCACATTTATTTTATATCTCTGTAACTTTGACTTGAGCAAAATTCTAATATTATGTTAGTGTAAATTAAAGGGAATTGAGGTCCCTGACATCTGTCCAAAGCTCCCACTGATATCAGAGGCAATTCTGCATGAACAGCAAAGACAAAGACTCCCTGGGGCACCATCAGGATCACAGAATTCCATGGAAGACTGAGGTTTATTAAAGAATGTGATCAGTTCATTTCACCATGAGCTTGTGAGGCAGACAATTTTAGAAACCCTGGCAGGCTGAACTTTTTTTTAGCTCCCCTGTAGATGTTCCCGGAAATATTCTCATCATGAAGCGTGGGAACTTTTACAGGAAGCTCGCAGTTATTTTTCGTTTTGTTGTTTATTGAGTGCCACCAGATTTCTTCATGGGGAGATGTAATAACTTTTTTTAGAGCTGAATATATCCAATAAATGATAATACCTCCCTGAACAAATCGTGCCTTGTTTATATCCTTGGACTATCACACCTGCAATAACACTACCTCAATATAATTCTTGCAGTCATCTGTGTACAAACATGGAAGAACTACCTCAAGGAACTTGTAATACAAATTAGACATACACATACAGTAGGAAAGCTCAATTGTTATATATTTATTTTATATATTTTGTATATCCTTGGCAGATTACAAATAGAATGCTTCAAGTGTTTTTGAAAGAGAATTTGAATGACAAGTTTGTATGTGTATGTATACTAACTAACTTCTCCAAAACAGGATATTATTCCCCTAAATCTTCTACCTTTAAAAAAAAACCTTCAGCTATCTTATTCTATGTTATCTGGAAAAGTTTAAGTGATTTTCTGGGTTACCTTATTTGGCCAGTAAGAGTAATTTCAGAAATCTTCTTGTTGTTAAAGTCTAAGATTAAGGTATATGCTTTCTTCCCAGAAACAGATTCATCAGTAATTCTGAAGTTTGTACCAAAGTCAACATCAATATCTGGAACGTGGACATTGCTGGTCAAAATTTTCCTGTCTCTGTTGTACCTGAAGGTCAATGTGGCCTCGCGCTGCTTCACACCTGGAAAAAAAAAAAAAAAAAAGGGAAAAAAAAATTTTCTAAAACTTTTCTAAAAAGGAAAATAAAAAAAGACTAACTGGAAATTATATCACCTTGAAGACATAAAGTAGCCTGTGATGAGTCTGAATCAGGAACTGTTTTACCTTTTTTCCTCCTCATTGCCTAAATTATCATGGACTGATCCACTAATTCTCTCACTACTCTTGTTATATAAACTTGGTCTCCCACAGATTCTCCCTTTGAAAACCTTGCTGTTGATGCCATTCTTCTCTGTTGGTATGCAGTATTACCATATTTTATGAGAAATGTGATTTTTTTTTTTTTCTTGCTTATATAGAACCCATTAATTTCTCCTTTTTATTGCTTTCATTCACCGACATCCATGTTTTGCTCAAAACATGGGAAAGCATTTTTGGCATACAAAATCTGCATCTGGTCATGAAGAGCTTGCACTGGAATTACATACGTGAAATGAGTGAAAGTGTTGGCAGATTTGGGTGAAAAGGTATTCTATTTTATATTAGAAATAATTATATTATGATTTATTCACAAAAATCTTTTTCCACTTCAGTGTCATAATTCAAAATGGAGCTAAATCGTATTGCCTCTTCAGATTCTTACCTTCTGCCTGGACAGCAAACTTTAAGGTGTCTATCAGATCATTTCCCTCTCTCTGCAGGTCATAGTTAGCACTTGCAGAGTATTCCTTCACTTCCCCTGTGGAAACTATTTCAATTTCAAATCTAGAGAAGGAGTAAACAAATCTCTTGTAAATAATTAATTTGCTTATGACCACAAACAGGAGAAATCATACAGTTCTCAACAGCGCTCTTTCTGAGCTGTTCCTGCTAATCTATTATTAAAGTACGTGAGAGGGTACCTTAGATAATAAGCCTTAAAGGGCTTAGTAGGTTTCTTAACGCAAAATAGATATGGTCAGAGCTGGTATGACTTACTTTGTTTCTCCAGTCAAGGGATAGTATGGAGCTGACTCTGTGGCACTGGCATTAGAGTACAATACGTTGGTGCAGACATTTAGACCAGTAATGAAAGGCTTGCAAGAAGTCCGTGACTCTCTGTTCTCAATCAGAGGTGGAATCTCTTCAGTTTTTGCTGGAGATACCAAATGTAGTGTGTTGCTGGAATACGAAAGTGAACCTATTATTCCCAGGACAGGTATTTAGATATTACACAGAAGTTGGTAAGTCCTATTAATGAGGTTACTTTCTGAATAAAAATCATTTAGTCAGGTAGGGGCTTAATAAAATAACCTTTAGGGCTTACTATTGTGCATTACTATTGTAAGTATTATTATAGATAATTATAATTCTGTGTATTGAGACACTCATCCTCTCTGAAATTAATGTAAGCAGATCATTTATATTCAATCTAAAATATGTATTGCTATGACAATCATTTTATGTAAGAGAAAATAAAGATGCACAAATGGTAAGTGTCTTGATGAAAATTACAGGAATGAACGATAAATTAAAGAATCTGTAAACCCTGACTCTCATTCGCTCCTGTCTGGGCCATTCACTTATCCTACAAAAGAAGCTATCCCAGTTTTACAACGTCTGGGATTTTTCTGAACTGAAAATCTCTCCACGCCTGCCCCCACCCCTCAATTCCACCACAATAAAACCAAGAGGAAAAGGGGAGGACAGAAGCTTGAAAATTCGCATTCAGATCCATTACCTGATAC